GTTTGGTCCACAATATTTTTCTGATTGTAGAAATCATTCTCAACCTCGTCATCACCACTGACCTATAGTCCAGTAAAATTAGGTATTGAACCCAACGTTAAAAAAATAAAGATGAAACTTGTCAGAAATTGTTTATTACCCTCCCCATAATAACTGGTAAAAATTCCTAAAGAATCCCGCATTGAGTTTTGATGGGGGGAGGGAAGGAAAATTAGTTTACTATGAAGTAATTGGTTGTAACCAAAATTAAGCATTTTTTTATTTATTGCTTTTTATTCAACATAAAACCTGGTTGCTTAAAAATTACAAAATTTAAGTTTTCTGGTTAGGGGTGGTTAGTTTATGATGGTTTATGATAAATTTTTAATGTCTTCTATCATATATTATCAATTATATGAAATTAATGTCAATCTAAACTTGAACAACATCAATTCTGTGGTTTGAAGCACTTTTTGCTTGTATAATACATAAATATCTACGTTACCATTGATTTTATATTAAAAAAAAAAAATGTACCGCATCATTTTTATTGAGATTTTAAAGTACTTTAATATTGTACTGAAAATAATTGCTAAATATTTAAATTTAAATCTTAAATAACTAAAAGTAAATCTTGTCCACTTTAAAACTAATTAAAGGGGACTTTTAAGCAGTTAAACAACGGTAACTTTGGTTTTCATAAAATTAAGGATTCTTCGTGATTTTTTTTATAAACTCTCAAACGGACTGAAGATACCACACTTCCAGAAAAACTTCCTTGTTTGATGAGCTTTAACCCTATATTAATTAAACTGAGCTGATATTTTCTCTAATTGAGCAAAAATATTATTAGCACAGTAAAATTAGGTATCGAACCCAATATTTTTACATCTTTAGACTCAATTAGGGATGAATCTCAACTTACTCCATAACAAACCACAATTTAATTAATATAAACTTAAAGCTCATCAAACAAGGAAGTTTTTCTGAAAATGTGGTATCTTCAGTCCAGTTGTGAGGTTATGAAATAAATTAAAAAATAATCTTTGATTTTATGAAAAACCGAACTTACCATAGTTTAACTGCTTAAAAGTCCTCTTTAAATGGTTTTAAAATAGACAAGATTTACTTGTGCTTAATTTAAATTTAAGCTGGTTTACTATCAAGGAATTTGTTGTAACCTAAATTAAACATTTTTTTAGTAATTGCTTTTTATTCAACATAAAACGTGGATGGCTTAATAATTACAAAATTTAAATTTTCTGGGTCTCTGTACGTAATCAGACCATGGTTTATGGTAAATTTTTATAAGTTTTAATGTCTTCTATCACATATTATTATTTATATGAAATTAATGTCAATATAAACTTCATATCATTATCATGAAAATTCCCATTGACCGATATCGAATATAATTCTGTTGGTAATGACTTTTTAGAATCATTAAAAGAAAGAAACTTTGAATAATAATTTGAAGAATCGAAAATGTTCAAAAATTAATTAAACCTCAAAAAAGTGTCGTCTACTATGAACAACATCAATCTTGTAGTTTAAAAAAAAATTTGCTTTAAGCGGAAATATAATCGATTGAATATTTAATAGTTGTCCGTTGCATTATAAAGGAAGCAGATGGTCCGGGGGCTGGTCATATAGGTTGAATAGTGGCAAAACCATTTTATTAAAAGCCGACGTTCTTTTCTTTCAATCTCTTCTATAGATCTGTAGAAGTATATTCACGTAGGGGGCGGGGTGGCCGAATAGGCTAAAGCGTGTGTAACAGCACCGCTAGTTGCCTGGCAACCGGATAACAGAGATTTGAGATGATATATAAAGTACGAGTTCGCGTCCCGGTGACGGAGGGGATTTTAAATTTCCCCACCCTCACCCCCCGGCCCGGGAAAAAACCGTATAGCCTAAAAGGCGAGGTAGGGAAGAACAAAAAAAAAAAAAAAGAAGTATATTCACATTATATATTATATATTACACTACAACAATTGTTACCATCTATTTACTTCAGTTTAGGATCTTGTTACTTAGCTTACTCTGTTTATAATTTAATAAACTTACTGTTTATAATTTTAATAAGCTTATTCACATTGTTTATAATTTTTGTCATAATATTATATAACTTCCACAATTCTCTATCTTTTTGTATCTTGTGCGTCCTAGTCCTGAAGAAGACCTGCTAAGTTGGGTCGAACATTGGCTTTTAATAAAATAGTTCTGCCACTATTCAGTCTATTTATGACTGACCATCTCCTTCCTTGATAAATATAATCTCATAAATATTTCCGTATTCATTGACTTTATCAAAAAAATGTATAGTATAATTTTTTTATAGAAATTTCAAAGCATTTTAATATTGTACTGAACAATCATTGGAAAAAAAACTCATATTTTTTGAGATAATCTAAAAAAAAACATAATTTTTCTGCCCTTCCTTCCCTCCCCCCATCAAAACTCAACATGGGATTCTTTGGGACTTTTTACCAGTTATTATGGGGAGGGTAATAAACAATTTCTAACAAGATTCATCTTTATTTTTTTAATGTTGGGTTAAGACTGGTTTTTCTCCTAACTTTACTGGAATTTAATCGAAATCGTTGGAGCCATTTTTGAGGAAACTGTAAAAATGTGTTAAATTGATGATGTAAAGTAACACCTCCGGTTGGCCGATTTTGACGAAAATGTTGCTGTAACATCCCAAGCATTTAAAAACCTTAGCTACGCAATTTCAGTTTTGAATGATTTTTGTTTTTTAAGATAGGCTGTTCATATACACATACAGACCATTTTATGGGACTTTATTTGGACTCAGGAGAATTCAAAACATGTATTTCTGTTGAAAACTCAGATTCGAAAATTTTCACAACCACAATACTTGCCTACCCTTACTATATATTACATATATAGGTAAGTGAAAGTAAAAAGTTGTACTAAACATTATGAATGGCAACGCTCCTAAGCGGTGTTCTTTAAAGAAATTAAATACATTATAAAGGCATCTTTGAGAGCGAAAATATCTGCAGACATATGAACTACGAAAAGTGCGCCCCAATGCCAAATTTGATGCCCATTGAGCTAGAAGCTTTTTAAATCTACATCAATAGACTAATTGATTGAAACCTGATGGATTTCTAATCTGCACAATAAAATACTTTGATATATCACACACAATCAGAATAATAGCACAGATTATTCTGAAGGTGGCCTATGTCCCAGAACCACTTCGACATGAGTGTACAATATTAATATATAAGAGCAAAGGTGATAATAATAACGTGTCTAATTGGAGATCAATCATGATTTGTGCTATTGTGGGCTAAATCATTGAGAAGGTTCTGGACAACTAATTAAGAAAGCAGGTCACCTTTCACAGGAACCAAAGAGGCTTTCTTGACCCTAAAAAAATGGCATATTCTAGGGAGAAAACCCAACATGGCAAATTAGTGGGTTCAGATCATAAGCCGAATCATTTAATTTTTTTTTTATAAAAATGTTCAAAATTTAATAGATTTAATCATTTAACTTACTACAGTGTTTACTATCAAATTCTTTAATAGTTTGTATAAAACCATTTATTATTATTACAAACAATGTGCAACAGTTAATTATTTTAAATAACAGTTACAAATTATATAAGCAATATAAGTGATTAAAAATAAAATACAAATCTGTTAAAAAAGTATTAATAATTTGATTTACTACCTAAACTAACATAATTTCTTTATCATTTCTTATTAAAATTTCAGTTTTGGTAACTCTTAATAGCAAGCAACTTTTCAACAAAACTTAGTATTCTTTACATAATGTTATATTACCAAATCGGTCGATTAGTGAGCACCTTTACCCATAATGCGTTGTCATTGGTACAATTCGGTAAATGACCAAACAGATATAACCACAATGTGCCATAGGTATTTCAGTTTTCCATAACACATAGTAAGTAAAAAGTTCCGTAAGCAATCTAATTCAGTCATTGAGTATACCATATTAAATATAATTTAAAGAAAATTTTAAAAAATATCTTTTCATTATGAAAAATAATCTCTATTTATTTATATACAAGTTTCTTTCTTTAAAATTTTAGTGCTGGAGACACTATATCTAGTTTGGAGTGGCAAACGAAACGTGGTCTGTCTATCAAAGAGAATTTATTGCCTTATGTTTTTCCTTACAGACCTTACAATTATGAACTTTAATTAAATATTATTAACAATCATCAAAATTTATTTGATTTTTAATAAAACACTAGAGAGGTACCCCCTTTCTGCCCATGACAGACCAACCCCCATTTTACTAATGTTCAATTAATTGTAAAACTCATTGCTCAAATTGAGTATCTGTAATTTACATGTATTCTGTAGTTCAGATGTATTATTTTATATTAAAATAAAATAAAGAGAAAGAACAAGTTTCACAGTTGCAACAAATTTTTAATTTCTTTAAAAATCTATATTATACATTGCACCTTATTACCAATTTATATTATTATATAATTAAATTGTTCTTGTTGCCAATTTGTAACCATAATAAGGGAGAAATAATTCTGGAAATAAGAAGTCTTTGTTATGATCCATCACGCATTGTTTATGTACAATATATGTAAAATAAAATATTAAACTGTCATCACTAAAAATGTTTTTATATAATGGAAAGATATATGTATCATTGAGCAACAATTTTTAGTAGAGAAGTTTCCAAAATCTAAAAACAAGATTATGTTGATGACCAATTTGAAATATCAGAAAGATTGACGACAATAGAAATTACTCCTAACTCAACTACATTATAAAATCCATTAATGAATCTTCTGAGAAACCAGAATATGAAACCAAATTTTTTTCAACCTCCTTTCGTGCTGATATTTTAGGGTTATAATATCTTTTCTAAAGATACTTGTAAAATTCTTCTTAACCTCTGTAAACTGTATGTAAAATATACAAATTGAAGGGTCTCAAAACAGTAGTTATATCTAAAAATAATATAATAATAACAAGAACAGTAAATTTAATACATACTGAGTTCTCTCATATGAAGAATCAATCTAGCTACGAAGCCCAGATATTCTTCCTGTAAAATTAAAAAATCACTATTAGAATGAAAAATATTGTTTACACCAATGTTACTGTTCAAAGAAAATAACTTTAAATTAAATTGGACTTCAAATCTACACTATTTTCGAGGATTAAAATGAGGTTTTAGTATTTAAACAAGATATTTTGGATGAAGCAAAAAATTACTTTATAGTATCTTAATTTGTTATAAAAACTTTTTACTTCCACTTACCTATATATGAAATACATAGTAAAGGAAAGTATTGCGATCATGAAAATTTTTGAATCTCATTTTTCAACAGAAATACTAGTATTGAGTCCTAATAATCAAGTCTCATAAAATGGAATGTGTATGTTAACAGTCTAGCTTGAAAACAAAGTCGTACGAAAGTGAAATTGCATATCAAAGTTTTGTATATGCCTTTTATACAGCAATTTTTTCATCGACATCGGCTTGGCACTTTATATCATTGATTTAACACATTTTTATGATTTTCTCAAAATCGGCTCAAATGATTTTGATTCAATTCATTATATTAGTATATAATTAAGGAGTTTTTAATATAATGTAGGTTTTATTCTCATTGATGTTCTCTAATAGTGCTTCAATGAAGGTGAAAAAATACTAAATTTTTAGAAAACAGTATTTTTAATTATTACACTGTTTTGACCTACCTTGCAGGTTATCAGGGCTAAAAAAGATACAAAATATAAAAGGAACATGGTGAAAATAAAATAAATGAATTATAAGTAAATAAGAAACAGTTGTCTGATAAAGAAATAATAAGATGACATCAGAGATACAGTGGGTGACAGTGTAGTTAAAAGATCAAGTATATGTTTAGAAGATACAAACAAAAATAGAAAAAAGTATGAATAAAAATAGAGAACAAAGGAAAATTAAATAAGTAATTTTCAATTTCTTTATTCGTCAACACTCATTTTCTATATCTGTTAACCTACATTTATCAAATGTAATCTTTACCAGTTTGTTATACAATCATTTCTTATCATTTATCACAACCTGTTTACTTTTAACTTAGATGCTATATTCTCCTTTGTTTTCTATTTTTATTCATACTTATTTTCTATTTTTGTTTGTATCTTCTATATACATAATACTTGATATTTTAACTACACTGTCACCCACTATATCTCTGATGTCATATTATTTCTTTATCAGACAACTGTTTCTTATTTAATATCTACTTATAATTCATTTATTTTATTTTCACCATGTACCTTTTACATTTTGTAACCCTGATGAAGACCTGCAAGGTAATAATTAAAAATACTATTTTTTAAAAATTTAGTATTTATTTAACTGCACCCCCTGACCCCGACCAACTCCTTCTCAAATTATATCACGGTCAACCATCACTACATCATTGGAAATTTATGGTTTATGTTAAATAATATTAATTTACATAAATTATTATTCATATTTTTTTTTCATTATCTTCTACAACTTTGAATGTTAGATAATACTATTTCAAAAATTGTAAGCTTTTCAACAATATATTGTACATATCCAAACTACTTTTGTTTCCAGGAATTTGTTTGTTTTCAACCACGGAAAATGTTTCTTCTTTTTATAATTATCAATGACCTACTTGATAATAAAAACCAGTTAATTTTACAGTGGTAAAATGAGTTCAATCAAAATCGTTAGAGCGGTTTGCAAGAAAATGACAAAAATGAGTAAATTGAAGGGTACTCTTTCATTAGCCGGGCGGGTCGAAACCTCACTTGTTATCTAACTTCACGTCACATAACTTCCCTCTTCTTATCTCGCCTAACCTTCCAGTTATTACATTGTTTATTTTTCAGTTATTCCTTTATTACGTTCAGTTATTAAATTCTTTATTTTTGGCCCGTTTGTGTTTATTTTCGTCAAATTATGAATCTTGTTAAATTCTGGGATTTACCGTCTTCAGAAGAACAGGCTATTGAATATTTTCAAAACGTTAGAATACTTGCAGACGTGAAATTGTGTGAACGAGGTCATCAAATGAAGTTAACCTGGAAAGCGAAATGGAGATGCTGTTGTTGCACTTGTACCATAAAAGTTTCAATAAGGAAAGGAACATGGTTGCAGGGCTCGAGGATTTCGTTTTTTAACGGCTTTAAAATTGATTTATGGGTGGTCCCATAACTTAACAACGATGAAGTAGGGCAAAGAGCAGCTGAAACTATCCAATGGAGCTATGGTAACGTGGAACAAATGTCCAAGAGAGGTTTGTGCCAATGACATGTTATACTGGTCAAGAAAAAAATTGGAGGGCCTGGCGAAGTGGTTGAAGTAGACGAGTCTTTTTTCTAAACAAAAAAATCATGTGGGGGGAGAGTTTTACAATAAATGACAGAAAGGCAACAACCTTATTAGAAGGAATTAAAAACAATATAGAAGAGGGAACCACCATTTATTCGGATCATTGGAAAGGATACAACACCCGACAACTGAGCGAAGCAAACTATAATCATTTCCAAGTGAATCACATCTATAATTTTGTCGATCCATCAACTGGGCTTCATACTTAACATATAGAACGATTATGGGGCTCAGCTAAGTGAAGAAATAAAATATGTAGAGGAACTGCCAGACGGGCGGCGGGTTCACAAAGAATAGGACCCGTTCCTCGCTATTTTAAATAGCATAAAACTATTTTGCCTACCAAAATAAATAAAACGAAGTGAAAAGAAATTGTATATATGTTGTTTATACTGTTCATACTTTTTCTTTTATATGTACATATGTGCTTTAAGTAATTTTTCATTATCTCATTTTCATCTCTTATACGTACATATGTTTTCTAAGTGTTTTTCTATTATTTCATTTTCATCTTTTATATGAACATACCTTCTTCAAGTGTTTTTTTATTATTTCATTAATATATATGTCATAAAATAAATTTTTTTTTTTGTTATTACATTTGTTTTTGTTTCTGTTTACAATTTCAATAATACGAAGATAGGAATTACGAGAAGGCTTATCACTGTCTTATCGGAATTATCAGTGTTCAGGTTATATGACCAATTGAAGATAAATAATGACCCTTATAGTTACCAGATTTTAACAAAAAACTTTGATGTAACATCTCAGGGATATGCTCATACAGACAGAAAATAAGTAAATTCGGTTTTATACTAAAAACATAATTGAAAATCCATGAAATTGGACATTACCCATAATTCAGTAAAGCCACTGATAGTCAACAGTGATGCCCGAATACAGAAGGACTTCTCAACACTTCTTAATACGAGACGAGTATTAAACACCTTATAGAAAAAATAATATAATTACTTTTGGTGAAGACATAGATCCTCCGGAATATCCAAGCAGAGTTCTACTAACATGGCCAAGAACTCATAAAGGGCCTGCAGGAAATATTCACTGCCATAATGAATGAAAAACTACTGGGAAAAAATCTATTAAATTCCAAATTTACAAAAAAGGGATCTTCCAGAATAATAATTAGAGGTATATGCCTACTACCCACTGCCTCGGGAATTCTTTATAAAAGAATAATACCGCATTGCTGTGACGGAAATTGGAAAATACCAGGACAGAATCATGAAGGGAAAATCAACTTTTGATCAAATATTCACTATACGAATTCTTCCGGAGAGGTCCAAATAATATTAAATTGGTACACTCTACATTTTCATTGATTTTAAACAAGCATATAATTCCTACATACATTAGAGGGGATGGAAGAAGCATATAAAACCATAATAGGGATGAATGCGCTCTCAAAACTTGTTAGTCTTGTCAAAGGGAGTATTTGACATGACAACTGGTGTTTTATATAGGGGGCGGGGTGGCCAAATAGGCTAAAGCGTGTGTAACAGCACCGCTAGTTGCCTGGCAACCGGATAACAGAGATTTGAGATGATATAAAAAGTACGAGTTCGCGTCCCGGTGCCGGAGGGGATTTTAAATTCCCCGCCCTCACCCCCCGGCCTGGGAAAATCCCGTATAGCCTAAAAGGCGAGGTAGGGAAGAACAAAAAAAAAAAAAAAAAAAAAAAACTGGTGTTTTATTAATCTTTTGAATAAGCTACAACGGATTTTAAGAATTGGATGTCCCAAACACTTGGTTTTGCTGATGATATTGACAAAATGGGAAGATCCTTTGAACAAATATATATTAGCCTTGGAAGAGTCAACAGCAAAAAATTTGTCTCATCACTAACATCTCCAAGACAACATATTGCTATGTATTAAACAGTAGATCAAAATAAGTTTTAAATTTAATATTATAAAGATACAGACTAAGCGAGGGGGAAAGAAAGGGTCTACCTGCCAAACATCAGAAAAAATGGTTCTATTGTCAACATAATCCCCCATATCAGCTACTAGTTGAAAGTTTACACTAATAGAGCTATGTGGATTAGTCCACATCCTGTTAGAAGAGAACACAGCCAGATGCTGTTGGAGGAAGCTTTTAACTTAACTGAATTAATAGACAGTAAAATGGGCCAACTAATAATGTCTACCATTAATATCAACTAGTAAATATATTATGAGTGATAAATATTCAGGACACAGTCTTTTAAAAAAACTTTTTTCTTAAAAAAGGTAAATGGAATAAAAAGTATGAATAAGGATGAAATGGATTAAAGGAAGGAATGGAACCGTTTCCATTTCCAATAATGTTGCTTTACAAATACTTCTCTCTAATCAGATAGGAAGCAGAGATTTTTTAAATTAAGTTTCATAAAATTATTGATTTTGGAAGTAAAATTCTGAATTAGGGATTACAAACGGAATGGAGGTAAAATGGGTAGGTTTAACAAAGAAAACTAAAAATTATACATCTATTGGGTTCACGATGAAGAGTTTTTAATATTCCATCATATAATAAAAGTCTAACTACCATCTAGATTCCAAATCAATTATAAATTGAAATAGAACATCCTGCAAGGCAGCGGCCAGAATTTAAAATGTTATAGATTTTTGTTTCTTGTTAAAAATACATTACATAATTATCATATAATATACTTAAAAGATTCTTTACACTGTTTTTCTATGGAAAAATAATTAGCAACAATATTTCATGTTAAAACAGTTACCTTTGTTTTAGCTTTCTGAAAAACGTGGTTTTCCATTTCATTTCCTTTTTTAATGGTTGACATTCCTGATCTCTGGATAGCTTCATCTCTATATAAACAAACAAAACTAAAGGATTAATATTTATACAAGATCAACTAAAACTCTTGAGATAACAAAATACTTGATAAAAAAGATGATAAAAAATATGTAAGCTACTTCTCGAAAAAAACACAAGAATAAAGGTTTAGTTACAATGTACAAAAATCTATAACCATTGTTTGCAAGAGTATTTAGGATATTTAAAACCCCATAACATGATATAGGTACACACAAAGGAAGACCTGGCAACAATCACAGTACAGAATAAAAACATAAGGTTCACTATAGTTAACAAGAAACACTTAATAGAACACATAAAATTGAAACAGTGCATTAATGCATGCAGTTAATAGTAATAGATTAATTAGAGGATACAGAAACAGTAAGAAAATCATATAAGCACACCAGGAGGCGAAACTGTAGAATATCAGAATTTTAGGTACAGAAAAACATTACTAAATATGAAATAGACGTGTATACACCGAAAACGCTTATTAGAATAGTTTATAATACTTCACTTAAAGCAATATCTAAACAAACCAGACATCTTTCCTAACCTCTCGGTTGTTTTTCATAAATGGGATAAATAAGAACATTGAACATGTAATTCGATTTATGTGGAATCATAGATATCAGTTGACTTACATTTTTGCAACAACACTCTGCCTAAATTGAGGAGTTCGCCAGTTATTCTCGTCAGCAGACATTATATTACAACCTCAGCAGCACTTATAGAAAAATTGAAAACCAAGGGTTATAGGTTAAAGCTGCGAAGTGTATTAATCCAAACAAGCTTAAAAAAAAGAATTCGTAAGTATACTTTAACGAAAGGTAAGAGGCAAAATATAACGCCTTACTTACTTTTAAGTGTACCAGGTTCAGTTTCAACAATAGCCGTAATATAAATTAGCGTTGCAATCGTTTTATCTACCATCTGTTCAGCGAACGTGCTATCAGTGAGAGGTGTTCTTTTTTTGAAACTCATTCAGTTCTTTTTGATTCATTAACCTCCCCTTTTAAATGTTTGGACCTCATTAGACGGTAACAGTTGGTACGAAAACTGCAAAGATTTAAACAGCTTTCGTGTTAGCTGTCATTCTGTAAACAGTTGGATAATCGAAGATCCAGTCGGCTAGTGGGCTATACCCAAAGGTCGTAGACCGAATGGGGAAAACTAAGTGAAATGAATTAATTTTTTGTCGGCTTGGGCGACTGATTGGCGTTTTTGCATTTAGGTTAAAATATCTCAGAAACTAAAAATCAGACACACATACTGCAAGCGAGGAAAATTTTCAGCACTTCATCTTCTTTTTAATGACCAATAATTCAAAATTATATTTTGACATGATGCCGAGATAATAGCCATTAAAATCTAGAAAAAAAAATAGTTTTTACACAGTTATAATTATATATATTGTTTACGATTGATTTGTTTTGTAATTACGAATAGACAGATAAGCACTCTGCCATTGAGAAACTTTTCCACTTTTTAGTATGTTGCTAATGATCAAAACTCATGGATATGGAATCCACAAATATTAAAGGGTTACTGCATTTCGAAAGCGAGTATATAGTCATAGTCTGCGCCTTTTACTGTTGTATGTTTGAGAGCCCTGGAGAGAAACTCAAACATTTTTTGTTGTTTTATAATTAAAGTAAGAGAAATCGTTCCCGAGAGTAGAAGAATTCCAATACCTCGGCTCCATAATAACCTCAACAAATGACCAACCGTAAGAAATAGACTAGCGTATAACAAGCGCAAACAGAGCTTTTATCTCCCTTTCATAGATATTGAAATCTAGAAAAATCTCAAATAAAGGGTGTACATGCTGTGATAAAATCAGTTCTAATTTATGGCTGTGTGACTTGGACACTAACCAGCGCCGTAAAACAAGTATTGAAAGATTTGAGAGACAAATCCTCCGCACGATAACCGGAGCTATCGTCATTAGGGATCATAGTACTAACACATGAAGAAGAAAGACCAATAAAGAGCTGCTTACAGAAACTTGTCAATCAATATCTTATGATATGAAGGCACAGAGGTTAAGATGGACGGGATATAATAATAACAATAATAATACTTTATTTATTCTGGGACGAGTCCCTTTAGAATAATACAGAAAGACAAAAATGTGGGCTAAGGAGCCTCAGAGATACATAAACAAGAATATAGTTTTAATTAAATAGTCAAAATAAAAAAAAATATAAGTTACTTTCTAATTTAAATCAGTTAATAATAAAAAATAAGAAAATGAAAATAAACATGATGTAAAAATAATGAAGAACGATCTAATAATTTATATATACATATTTACAGTAGTAACTATTTACAATTTTATGAGGACTGGATGGATAAGAAATGATTAAACAGGCGGGATTTAAAGGTAGGGAGAACTTTGGATTGACGGATGTGGGGAGGAATGGAGTTCCATAGGGATGAGGATCGGATAACAAACGATCTGTCGAAAGCAGCGGTTCGGTGAGCCCTTATGTATAAAGTCCGAGAACGAGTATTGCGGGAACGAACAGAGATCATTTGAATTTAAAGAGCTCGGAGATGTATGAAGGACGGTGGGATTGGATGACTTGAAAGAGGAAGGATGCCAGGAAATACTTACGACGTCAGGAAGGATAAAGCCACTTCAACTCCGCATAAAAACGGGAAACAGAGGCGTTCCTTGGGATCCCGAAGATGAATCGTACAAACCAATTTATCAAACGTTTTAATTTCGCCTCGAGAAACCCAGAGACGCCCCCATATACCGTACAACAATCGTCAAAGTGGGGGAAACTTAAGGACGTTACTTGAAAACCTACGGGTTTCAAGGGGGAATAGGTGACGGGAGTAGTTAGACATTTTAAGGTGGAAATGATACGGCGGGAGATGTTGAATATATGATTTTTCCAGGAAAGCGTTTGATCAAATATCATTCCAAGGTTTTTGATGGAGGGATAGAATTTGATGGGATTATCACGTAGGAACAGAGTTGGAATATTAGGAACAGTTTTAAGGAGGTGATTGGAGTCTATTAAGAGTGCCTTCGTCTTTTGTGCATTCAAATTCAACTTGTTAGCTCTCGCCTAGTCACAAATCCTATCCAAGTCTTCTTAATGTTTTTCTGTGGCTGATAATAGGTCGGTAGGCGGTAAGGACAGATAAATTTGGAAATCATCGGCGTACGTATGGTATTGGGAGTGATGGATCAGGAGAGGAAGCTCATTAATATAAATAGCAAACAGAGTAGGAGATAGAGAAGAACCTTGAGGAATACCACTGGTGAGGGGGAGAGTTTTAGATGGAGGTTGACCTGGGACAACTACATACTGGGACCGATTTAAAAGGAAGGATTTGAACCAACGCAGGGTACTGTTGGATAGAGGAAGATTGAGAAATTTAGTGAGGAGGATGTTACGGTCAACTGTGTCGAACGCTTTGGAAAAATCTAGAATCATGAGGATAGTAAGGTTTGGGTCAAGCTCATATAGCTCGTGCAATCCATCTGAAAACCTCTACATAACAATGAATACCTCAATAGAAGGCAAAAGACCACGCGGAAGAACAAAAAGCAGATGGGTAGATAGAATCAACTATGATAGAGCTGCATACATGTAACTGGAAAGAAATAATCCATGATAGGTAGAGATGGAGCAGGATTGATAAGGTGGCAAAAGAACAGGGCGGGGTGGCCGAATGGGCTAACGCGTGTGCACTGCACCGCCGTTGCCCGGCAACCGGATATATGATTCTATGATATGAAAATAGTCACGAGTTCGCGTCCTGGTGCCAGGGGGGATTTTAAATTCCCCGCCCTCACCCTCTGGTCCGGGAAAATCCCGCATAGCCTAAAAGGCGAGGTAGGGAAGAACAGGAAAAAAAAAAAAAAAAGTGGCAAAAGATAACATAAAAAAAAATTCTTAACACGTGCTTACATTTTGTAGCTCTATAAAGCATTTTCAAGTCAATTTCAACTTTTTCTGAATCAAATTCTTTTTCTAATATTTTTATCTCAAGAGTTCAATGTGAAATAATTAAATATTAAAAAAAAAATAAATAAATTTACTTTAGAGAAAGAAATATTAAAAATTAGCCATTTAAGCCCTGTAAGAAAACATCAATAAGAATAAAACCTACTTAATTTTACTCTGATAGTGAATTTAATAGAGCCGTTTTCGAGAAAATCGTAAAAAGTGTTAAATCGATGATATAAAGTGCCACTTTGGTTTAGCTGACTTTGATAAAAAAGATGCTGTGACATTCCAGGCATATACAAACCTTAAATATGGAATTTCACTTCCGTGCAACTTTTTATTTTGAACTAGACAGTAAACACACACCATTTGGTGGGACTTGGTTATTTGGATTCACGGTACTTCAAAACGTGTATTGTATTTCAGTGGAAATAAAAAATAGACCTAAACACTTTAACTTACGTTTCTAGCTGGCTGTATGAATTTATCCTATGCCATTAAAAAAATCTGATCGCATCGCACAACTTTCACTCTACTTTGAATTAAAATTATTTTTAGGCATTGTTGGTCCATCACAAAATTTTTGATAACTCCAAACCACATAACTCCAGTTTCTGAGCTATATTTACTCAAGGAGATTTGAAAGTAGTATATCTGTATATTTAACCAATAAATGATTATGGATGTACTACTATTGTAACTGTAGACTGGTTGGAGATTAATTTACTTATGTATATATATTCTAATAGGAAATTTAAGTCTCCAAAACTTCTGTTCATTGAATTTCTTTCTCAGATGAATAGCTTAGACAATATGAAGGAATTTTTGGTAAAAAATGTGAAGCAAAATGATTTTTTTCGAAAATGTCATATTTTTCGGAGCGTTTAGTTCGAAAACAGTTCATAATTCGGGTAAAATCTATAGAGTAAAATATCTAGACAATTTTATAAACTTAATTTTAACTAAAACTTAATTAACTTAACTAAAATAAACTTCTTGCGTCTTGTATCTTCGGTATGAAAGGGGCCTTAGGCCAGTGCATTATCTCCATTCCTTTCCTGCGAGTCTTTAAATCCAGTTTGAAATCTCCTTACGATAGGATCTGGAAATAACAACAGGTTATGGTTTTATCAGGGGAATCTAACGTCTTTCTTGACTAGCTGTTTCATGACCATAGACCCATACCAGCTTAGGCTCCTTAAGACAAGCCAGTGATTCAATGTCCAGAATACATTCCTCAACCGGTGAGTAGGTTGCCTTATGTGCTTCTGTATGAGTTACTATCACCTCTTGAACCACACTAAAATCTTAGGATAGAAGTAGCTGACTTTAGACTAAATACTCAAAATAGAGAGTTCTATTAAGTGGTGGAAGAGAGTACTACAATACTCGTGTTAGCACTGATGAAGAAGATGACAAAGAGAAAAACACTGGACCAAGCTGTCGAAAACCTACACTACAAGATCATCCAAAAACAGACCTGTATGATGGATAAACCTGCTGATGACTCAGGAACACCACATATTTCAGACTCAGCCTTAAACATTCAGCTGTCACAACTTTCATGACCAAGCTAAATTCAGCTACAAACTATGCTTGTATTAGGAAATACTCCAATTGGCCAAATGAGAATCCTAGACAGCTCTAGCTTTCAAACTGAAACAACATCCTTAACCAACCTGAACTTTCCTAATACAGCTACACTCAAATATACCAACAGAAGCAAGAACAAATCTCTACAAGGCTAAATCAGCCCTTAAAATTTTGTAGTCACCACATAGTGGCCAAGGCTCGCAGCATCAGCAGAATATCCTAATGAAGAAAAAAGAACTCGCTTTGGATGCTAAATCAAGCCCAACTTGACTACTAGTACAAATGTAACCAACGCCTGCCTTACCATTGGTACCATCGTCCTAC